GAAAATGTTTCCACTCAGGTGGTATAGAGTAGCCATGAAAAATCCACTAAATTTGCAATGGAGTTGTGCAACATTGAAAAATTTTTTTGTGGCTCCTGAAGATCTTGTGACTGACCGCCTTCCTCTTGCACCTGCTGTATTTACTTATTCATAAGTTGACCTTTCTTTTTTTTTTTAAAAAGTTTCTGGGGAATAATCAAGATGGTCGACTCATGAGCAGGTCACAGGAGATATTTTTTTTATAACTTTCTTTAAGTACATTGATCTTGTTATAGAAAACAATGGAGAAGAAAGTAATTAATGGAAGTCAACACAGAGCCAAGTGCAAAATTGGTCAAACAAAGTAGAGACTTAAATAATTAAATTGTTATTGTAGATGGCCGAGGTGATATTTTCGGAAATGTTCAGGATAATTACTGTATAACACCCTGAGAAGCAAATATCTGTGTCACATAATACCGTATATTTATTTGTGTTTATGTCTTTTTATCTACATGATAATGGTTTTAGAAATTTAATTTTTTTAAAAAATATTAGTTTCTTTAGGACCGCATTGCTTCTACTAAAATGTTATTTTATGGGGTTGGCTTATGAACAGGTTACACACTTTTCAGGCTTGTGCGTATGAAAGAGCATAGACAGTATGAAAGAGCATAGATGTGAAGAAGGCATATCTTTAACTTAGATTATGTTTTATTAGTTCCCCCTATAGATTATGTTTTAGTTCCCCCTAGTTGATCTGTTTATTAATAAATAAAATTTCAGCTTGTATTTAGGGTCCAAAAGTTTATCTGGTCATGAAGCACAAACGTGTGTGTCTATCCTTCACGTCACAAAAAGGTGCTTGGGTCAGAGATTGATAACAGTTATTGTTGACAAATTAATTGTTACATTTGGTCCAAAAGGGGTTGGGGGGGGGGGGAGAATTTTCTTGACCTTAAAAAAAGTATCATTACCTTCTCATGGCCAATATTTAATCTTTGTTGGTAACTAATCGGGACATGCAAATAACCTCAGATGATTGTGTAATGTCCTCAGGTAATGATTCGTCACTTACAGTCACAGCTTAAAAAAGTCACACTTGAAGCTGAGCAGGTGCCACATTTGAAAGCTAGGGAAACACAACTTATCCAACAAACAGAGGACCTGCAGGATAAGCTCAGGGAAGCCAGGATGGCACAGGCTCCGGTGAGACTTCATTCATTATAAATTAACAAAATCTATAGCTGTGATCAAATGTACATGTATTTTACTACAATGGAAACATAGTTACTTACTTTTTAAAAAAATTTCTTTCCGTTTGATGCAAACTTTATTTGAAATGCTTACTATAGAGCCCCTACATAATGCTTTAAGAAAATGACTTTCTAAATGACTTATTATAGCTCTAAAACTTGTGTCCACTTCCTATCTAGGAGATGCGACATTTTGAATCTCTGGAAGGTAAACTAACAGATATGGTGCAGAGGCAGCGCAAGAGGGAGGCCGAGCTTGATGCTGTCGTGAAACAGAACCAGGCGATGAGCCAGTTTGAAATACAGGAGGAGGTAGAGAAGTGGAAAAATATTGTAGAGGCCAAAAATAAACAGGTCAGCTTACCATGTCAGTTTTTCTATATTTTTTTCTAAATTTCAAAATGGCTCTGTGCGACAGTGTCTTAACAAATAATAAGTATAGATATGTATTATTTTAGAGGTGCCATTTTCCCTAAATTGACCTATTACTTGGTAGGTGAAATGAAATACACTAAAAAGGATTTTTCATAGATGTATATTTATCCATTGTATCAAAATCTTGCAACACAAATGTTAAATTTCAGCAGCATGCCAGTGTGTCTTTATACAGCCATTGGCCAGTCTTCCCATAAATAGCCATTGGCCATTCTTTCCATATACAGCTTTGGCCAGTGTGTCCATATAAAGCCATTGAAAACTGCTGCATTAGTTGAAATAATATACATTTATTTTTACCAGATGGTTTGTGAAAAATACTTTCCTTTTCCTTAAATATTCCATTCATTAAGAAAGTTTAATTTTTGTTTATTTTTGGGGGGTAAAGAATACAAAGACATGTAGACATTGACAAGGACACCGTACACCTGAAATGTGTTATGCTGAGTTTCTTATTTCTGACATATACTCAGCTTAGCTGTACCATTTGTTTACACAAATTATATGTTTCGTTAATCTAATTAAGCTTTGCCACCATCGAACCCTCTGATGATTAGGTCTGATATAAAACCAAATTTCATTTTTTTTCTTTTCATTTAGCTGCAAGTGTTCAGGGCCGAGCTTGATTCCATCCTCGAAGTTTTAAGAGCCCTCCAGAGGCAAGGTGTGACGCTGCCCGTGGGGACTTTATTTAGCTGATACCAGCGGAACAGCTGATTTTGGCTGTAGTTTTTAATTTCCCCGTTCTGTCCTCGGGTGTTTGTGTTACCAACTGCTAAATGGTACAAAATATGCAAAAACATTTTTTTACTTTCTCGCACATGGATGCCTTTTTTTTAATGGTTTATCAAGCATTGAAAGGAAGTCAGTGGTTTAGTCTAATGTGTTGCTTCCTTGGATGATGCGAGGTAAAAGAACTAGGTTTAAAAATAATGAGTTATACAAATTCATTCATAGATCTCCAGACTTGGAAATGATAGGTACTTATTTATTTCTGAACTGACAATCCAAAGCTGCTTTAATAAAGTAATTCATGATAAAAAAATTATTTAAAAATTATTTGATTTTTGGGGATGGATCTGATGAGATTTCAATATTTTTATCTTTTTGAATTATTAAATTGTTTAAAGTGAGCACCACTTCCTCGTGTTACAGAGAAAGATCTGTTCTTAGACACTGTGATATTCTTTATGATACCCTGTAGCTACTTGTAATGGAACTGGTCAAGCAACAAGGAGTTGATGTCTCTCCATTGAACTGAGCCAATCAATTTTGTATGATGCGGTTGTAATCAATAGGTAGTAAAGTATATTGTAAATACCATACTCATTTATATCACTTTTGATTAGGAAGTTAGTGTCATGTCAAGAGGAGTTGGAGCATGTTTTTTGGGATGAATGGAAACAGGAGTTCATCTACTGCTACATCTCTGTCACTCCACCACTCCCCTTCATATTTATTGAAATAATTTGTCAATTAGCAGTAATTTTGTTTGAGTGATGAATATTGTGCAAATGTATTTTGATGGAATGTTGTATGTTGTGAATGGTTTTTTTTCCCCCAAACTTTGCTTGAGAATCTGATGGTATTTTTGAGTTTGGTGTGAGTGTGGTCTAGGAATGCTCAAGAGGTGGGGAATGTTGTGCTTTGTGTGAAAGTTGTATTTTTTGTGAGTGCTTTGTAAGATATTCCTAACTTTAGTTTAGGGAATCATGTTTAGTTTCACGATGTTATGTACTTGTAAAGTTAAAGAGGTGCTCACTGTTTTAAATTATTTATGTACAATTATCTATGTAGAAACTTTAATCTGGATAAAATAAAATTGTCCAAGTATTCATTCCTAAAAATTATTTGTATCACTTGATTGTTGCTGTAATAAGTTTAATTTTTAATCTAGCCTCATTTTTTCATTTTTTTAAATATTTTTTTTTTTTTACAACAAAACTGCTATAAGGGCTCTCTTCGTAATGTCCTGTTGATCCTCCTGGGACCTAGGCGGCTAACGAGAGATTTTCAAGTATCTTGATCTTGGCAAAGATTCTCCAACTGTTTCTTCCCATCTCTATAATGTCTGACTCCAGTCTTCATCTCCGTGTATTCCTTACCTGGCCTCCTTTCAATTTGCACTGAGAATTCAAAGTGAAGGCTTTCTTTGTGATGATGGGTGCTAGTTCTCACAGCATGCAACTGATATATATCCTTCTTTGGAGGATTTCTTCCTGAGCATTTCATTGTTTAGTTTGCTTAGTGTTCTCCATTCCTTACAGCTTTACATAAGATCAACAAGGGCGATGTTGTAACATTATTTTACATGGTTTTAACTTTCTGCAACGCCTGGTTCATGTCAAAATTAGAGTAGGTATCTAAAACTGGCTTAAAAATGAGTTTTTATCTTATGGAAGCCCGTATTTAGTAACTTTTCACTTCATGTTTTCTATAATAAAAATCAGTCATATTCTAATAAAAATGGTACCATTAAATAATATACTTTAATAAGCCCTCTAATTCTATGTAATTTTCATGATTGTTGACGCAACCAAGCTCCTCTTTATAAATCAAGTTATTCCCAATACAATTAATACAGCAGTTTTCCCCATCATAATTAAATTTTTACAGATTCATTTCTTACACCAGATAAACATTTATGAAGAAATAACCACGGTAAGGCAGGATACAAGAAATGGAGTAAAAATATTTTATTTTACATTGGATTTTACATTCAAATTTCACCAGGAATCAGTTCTTGTTTGCTTTTAGGATACAGAGATATTAAAACTTATGCATATCTAAGATGGACAAGTGTATTGTGCAATATGAGTCTACTTTTTAAAAAAGGGTATAGCACAGCCTCAAAATAAGATTTTTGTCTTAAGCTGTTGTTTCAATATTAAATGTTTAATAGTTATATAAAGGTTTAAGTTATAAATTTTGATGATTAAAAAAAAAAAATATGTAGTTGAAAGCAACCAAGATGGTGCTATGGCAAAGTTTGATAAGTGTACTATATATATATATATGTATAAATATATATATATATATATATATATATATATATATATTACGAACATTAAAATAACGAGGGAAGGACGCCTCGTGCAAAGGTTATACGCTGTTAGTTGTGCGCATGAACAAGGATTTAAAGGAACGAATTGTGGCAGACACATTGAAGACATTATATAGATACAAGCGCCTTAATATGATAGCAGAAACACACTGAACGTTTTGTTGGGACACTAACTCATTATATGTGCCAGTAAAAGATACACGAACTTGATAAATGCTGAGTACTTTTTTTAGGTAAATGGAGTCGAAAACTTNTTTAGGAAGGGGGGGGTGGGGGGGGGGAAAGCTTTTTAGTAAAGGTAGGCCACTGCATAAATATTGAGAATTTTCAATGCTTTTTCATACAATGAGGTAAAAAAATTTCCAAAAAATTTATTCAAATAATAAATATATCAGCCTTATCACATTTAATGTTCGTAAATGCAAAATTGATTACTTGAAATTTTTTTTTGCTGTCTTTAGTCATAAGTAACATTAACCCAGTCAATACCAAATAAGAAGTTATCAATTAAAATCATGGTGATTTTTTTTATTTTTTTTACCATCATAAAATGTTAGCTATTAAAAAAAAAATACAGTTTATAATTAATTTTGTCCAGTTTAAAATTAACTATTGATCAATGAAAAAAAAAGTAATTTAAAAAAAAAATTTGTTATAAAAATAAAATGCCTCTATTAAAAAGTTGTATAAACACTTGCTGAAATTCTCAGTAAACAGTGTAAAATAAAACTGTATTGAATCATAAAAACGGGTTTCATTCTATAAAGATTTATCCCTTCAGCACCCAGCTAATGCTGTATGTCACATGCTGGCTGTAACAATGGAATATAAAATATTAAAAGGTTTTCAGTATATAACTGAATGATTCAAGTTTAAAAATTAGAATGAAGAAAACAAGACATCACCCGCTGGAATGGGGTAAATTCATGGAGAGTAGAGACTTGATTTACCAAGACTGTTGTCAGGTGTGTGTTGAGTTTATAGAATTAAAATGATGGATAACTTATTACTAATATTCATTAAGTAAAAGAAGTTACAAAATATATAATAACTTTAGCTTTGTATAAAAGCTTACATCAGTTGTGACTTACTGAAAACCTTTTAATTTAACTTTAATATAATAAGTGGTCGTTTTTGGTTTAAATAAATAGGAATGGAGAGATAATTATATACAAAAACATGAGAAAATAACATGAGTAAATGGACGGAATGTTAATAAAAATAATTTTAAATAAATCATAAATACGGAATTTGGAATACTAAGTATTTTTGCTCCTAAAGGAAGTGCTGAACTAAGAATATTGGAATGTCAATTTTCATAGTCAATGGAAGTGATAAACTGATGTCCCCCAGGTTAGAATTTTTCATAAAGATAATTTTGCACCAAATTTGGCGTGTCAGTTTTTACAGTCCCCTGTCTCGGTGCGTCACTAGACCAAATTGGTCTGTCAGTTTAGTGACCAAAAACTGACATGTCCCTGAACCAAATCGGTCAGTCAGTTTCAGTCAGACATGTCTCAATTTCCAGCAAATAAAATCTGACAAATAACCCATTATTTCTTGTGGCAATGTTACACTTAATTTTAAGCCCAAATTAATTTTGGAAAAAAAAAAGAGATTTGATTGAGTTCATTATTGTATTAGTAAATTCTCAAAATTTTTTCATCTGCTTCAAATATGAACAACTGTGATACCTCTTCTCATACACCTGGACCAAAAGTGCAAAATTTTTAAATTTCTATAAATTCAAGTCTGTAATCTTAATGAAATGTGTCTATGAGCTTTAAAGAGGTAAATCTAACAGAGGAAAATACCATGCTCACCAAAAGTGATGTGTAACAGACTACTGCCAAATTTTAATTTTTTCATCACATGCCATTTTAACACAGATTCATTTAATTATATCAGCATCCATAAGAAGAAACGAAAAATGATTTGAGACAGTTTCCTCCAGGACTCATACCAAGGCAAATTTTTGTATGTAATTCAAATGCATTATTTTCAACGAAGACTGTTGACTTAATGGCACAAAGTGAAGCACAAATAGAAAATTTTCTCACCATTGCAAAACATGAAAAGGATGAGAAAAAATTATTTTTTGCTTTGAACTTTGATAAACGAAATAGTTGTGTGTGATGAAAACATTCATGTAACTCATAAAAATTCAAATACTTTTTCTTTGGATTAATTTATTAGAGTTTTTTCTTACTCAAAAAATTAATGAAAAAGTAAAGCTTTAAGATAATTGATTTCACAGATGGCACTGGTAAATATGAATTTTTACAGTATTATTTTTTATAAATTATTTTTAAACAATGCCAATGATCTATTATGTTGTTTTTTAAAATTTACTGATGAGATCATTGCTTGGTGAGGTAATGTTACATTTAGTCAATCAAAACATTTCATTTTGCATGTTTTATCTTCACATGTTTTCTCTTAACATGTTTTACAGACTGCTTGAATTTACTTCTATACAGTCATTCACTTGGTATCACTTGAAGTAAAGCTTGAAATGTTTGTTTCATAACCAGAACTTGTGACCTTGATCCAGTGAGGTTCAACATGGACATTTGTAAGCAGTTTGAAAGAAAGCTTTGTGTCTAAATTGTCGCAGTTCATCTGTACTGTCGAGTCTGCTGTCTGATCCGTGCTGACTGGGATCGTTGTTGTGTCCTCGGCGATGTTGCTGTGAGTCGTCTGCCGTCATTGATTGCTGTTTGACTTCGAAATCCTGACAGCTAAAAGAAATAGTTCAAAGTTACAAAAAAAATATTACAGACTGACATAGAGCAAAGATAAATTTACCTCTCAAAATTCTCTTCAGGGTTCATACTCATAACATAATGATTCTGATTTATTAACAACAAAAGACTCAATTTACTCAGTTTTTAAATTATTCTTAAACTTAAAAATTTGCTGATTGTCTCAAGCAATAAATTTTGATAAATAAAAGGTAAATCATTTACTTTCAAAATTACAACATATCTACGGCACCAAAAATCATTATATTTATGTTTCTAAAAAGCTAATAAAGCAATATTAACTTAATGATAAAGACGCGTAGAAAGCAAAGAAGTTAAATTTTAAATAATTTTCCACAATAATATACTTTACATATATCCTTTAATAAAATAGCGAGAACCATTTGGTTGTAAGCTTATATAAATGATTTTTTTCCAAACAAAAATATCAGTAGCTTTGTCTAACAGAAAAAAAAGCAAAAGGGAAAAATGGGGGCTCTTGATGCTTAACACATGTGTTATGTGTTACAAAGCTATCTATGCACAAGGAAAGATAGTTACAACAGAGCACTAACATACTTTGAACACAGTTTTATATACAGTGTGCAACCCTATCATGAATTTAGGAAACTATCATGGAAGTAAAATATCTTATGATTCTCTCAAATTTTTTTAAAAATTGTATTTAATTAATTGTTTAAATATCCACTCACTGTTTAAGGATGATCAGTAAGATGTTTTCAATATTTAAGTCCATATAATTTAAGTCATTGGCATTGCCTCTCAATGGCAAAGTTGTTGTTTTAAAAAATGGTCTAATTTTTATCCTCAATTTTTACAGCACAGGGTGAGATTATGTTCCCAATCTGTAGGCTTTCCATTATTACCAAAAAAATATTTTTAGTTGTTCCAACATCAGCTGTACTGTTAATGTTGATAATTGTAACTGGGCACTAGCACTACTAGCACAGTGGAGAATAATTGTACAGTGACTTGAAAATAGCACTAGCCTGGTGGACAATGACCAAAAGCCAACCTATAAGATTTACACCTCTATGCTAAGTCATTAACTTCTTTAGTTCTACATGACCTTGACTTCCCAATTGCCTCTTTGTATGGTTAATAATTGGTTATAGTTATACTAAGTAGTAGTAGTTAACCCTCTTGAGACTGAGCCTTTTTCGATTGACTGTGCCAAGAAGATGGAGCCCTACACTTACTTTGCAAAAAATTTATAAAAAATGAACTAATTACTTTACAAATAATACTATAGGGCCTATATTTTCTTTAGGGGAATTGAATGAACTAATACGATCTTTATGAATCAAGATCAAATCTCAACATTTATAAAAATGTGATATCTTGATTGACATCTTTTATGCATACAATTTTTTTTTTTTTTTTTTACACTTGGAATAAATGTGTCTTACTTGCAGAATTTTGTTAAATTTTATGATTGTTGAAGCCTAAATAAGTCCTAATGAACTAATACGATCTTTATGAATCAAGATCAAATCTCAACATTTATAAAAATGTGATATCTTGATTGAAATCTTTTATGCATACAATTTTTTTTTTTTTTTTTACACTTGGAATAAATGTGTCTTACTTGCAGAATTTTGTTAAATTTTATGATTGTTGAAGCCTAAATAAGTCCTAATGAACGTCTGAATGAGATTCAATGGGAAAAAGTACATACAATATTCCCCCACCTGGGACTGCTTATGCCTTTTGGCATATTTCATGGGCACATATATTCTAAGGACTTATAGGGGTTATTAGGTAAAATAAATTTGATATAAAAAGACAAAACACTATATAATATCAATGGCGAGGTGAGCAAGAAATGCAAGAAACAATTTGATTAGCTGGCACGAAGACCAGCCAGCCAATCTCAAAGCTTTTATTATTGTGCTGATTGATCGGTCTTTCAACTTTTTCACCATAACACTCAGGGCTGATAGATTTCCCCAGCCATGTCAAGAGGGTTAAAGAAGATGTAAAAAGGATTTTTTCAATAGTTCAATATTTCTAGCTTGACAATTACTCCACCCCCACATTAGTATAACAAAATAGTTTTTATGATCAATTAAGGGCGGTTGAACATCTAAAAAATGATATGTAGTTTTTTAATCAGCACCCGCAACTCAAAAGTATGTTGTGTGTTAGAGAAAATATGGTGATATGAGACACTTAGGTTGTTTGTGCAGTTACAAAAATTTCTTACGTGTCACGAGAATTTCTTTAGAGAAAAAAACAGAGGGCATAAGTATTTTAAAGAATAATATCAATCAAACCTTGAGTTCCCCCATCATAATACTACTACTTTGATACAAACAAAAGGTTACAATATATAAAAGCTTTTTTTATTTTGAATGTAATTGTGCAGTTTTAATTTATGAACGTTTTCTTAAGTTTATAATTTGGTTTATGAATGTTTCATTAAGTTGACAAATTGATATTTATTACCTGACATATTTATTTTTTTACTTTGATTTTTAAAACAAAATGATAGAATGTCTGAAGAAATGCCAGGTTAAGTTTTAAAACAAGTAACAATCTACAAAATAATTTCAACTAAAAAAAACTTTAGTAGTAGCTGTCATATTGATCCTATATAAACCATCAACTCACCTGTGCTTGATAGGCTTGGTGATAATGAATGGTTCCATTGGTTTTGCCTGGTTCAACAGCTGGAACATAAAGTGGATGATTAATCATCTGGTATTTTGTTATATTTTATGACAGACAGATAAACTTTTTTTATTATCATTCTTTGCTTTGAAATATCTTGACCATAGCCTTATAGACGTTAACTGGGCCATCTGACTTTTAATTTAATAAATTTAAAAAAATTTTAGTTTGAATTGGGATTGTTTGATTTTTTTTCTTTTTTTTTTTTTAAACCGCAATAAATTATATCTTTGATGTGAGTTTTATTTGTGACGATGCAATTATTTTTTTCATTTAGCACTCTGAGCTTTACATTTTAAAATTAATAAAATAAAAATTTATTTTGAATTGGGATTGTTTGTTTTTTTTTTTTTTTTTTTTTTTAAACCGCAATAAATTATATCTTTGATGTGAGTTTTATTTGTGACGATGCAATTATTTTTTTCATGTAGCACTCTGAGCTTTACATTTTAAAATTAATAAAATAAAAATATAATTATAAATAAATAACACTTGGTTGAAAAATAAAAAAAAACAGTAACAATTAAGTTAATTAGAATAAATTAATTTTTAAATACCGGTACACAGATAGCGCCTAGACTCGGGTGACCAAATGTCCCGTAAAAACGGGATGTTCCCATTTTTTCACATCCTTACCCGGTGTCCTGAAAAAGTCTCTAGGGACGCCTAAATGTCCCATTTCTAAAACCAAACACATTTTCACCTCACTAAAACTTTCTAATTTATAATATAACTTCAAGTAATTTTTTTGCTAGCTGTGTTTGTAGACAGTGACAACAGTGATGTGGGCCTTGACCCACTAGAGTACAGTTCTAGTAGGTCGTGTGTGGGCTCGTGTGATGGCTGCACTGTCCACCTTCACCACTCTCCCAATGCTGCTTAAATGACAGTGTCCCTGCCATAGATTATGTAGTAAAATATGAATAAATAAATAAGTATTCACTGCAAAATTATTGTTTTTGTTTATGATATACCTCAGAGTTTAAATTAAATTACAAAAGTGAAGGTAAATTTTAAAAGATTTCTAAGTTTCAAAATAGGTAAAATAAGCATATTTCAATAAACAGTTTCCGGCTAAGGCTCCCCCCCCCCCCCCCCCCCCCCGGACCCATCTTTAGCTGGAGGGTATCCCCGTAAACCCTCTTTGGGTGTGTCCCATTTTTTTCCAGTTCATGATTTGGTCACCCTAGCCTAGACCAAATAATAATAACACTTGGCTTGTATTTAAATGTCTGTAAAAACAAAAGGGTTATGACAATTTATACCAAAAAAAAATTTGATATCTCTAGATCAGATTCAAGGTGGCTTCACCTTTGAGCCTTTCATTTAGTTTGTCCAGTGACTCCATCAGTCTCTGCTCCTCTATAGACAAAGCACTGTGTCCACCTGTAGGCACAATGAAGATGAAATTTAAAAAGCATGGGCTGAATCGTTATTTTAAACAAAACTAATTCTAATCACATAACCATTTAGTTATAACCACTACATGGATGTATAAGATCCAATGGCTACTCTACAGTAAATGTTTTGACCATGACTAAATGTGAGACTCAACTCAGATAAAAATGGAATATTTATGCTCAGATAGGTTGACATGACTTTAATGACAAATTAGAAGGAAAATAAAATTATCAGTTCATTCAAATCAATTGAAAGAGTTTATTTGTTCAAACTGAGCTGGAACATATAAAAGTGATCCATCTGGTCCATTAATCCAATGTAACCTGCAGTACAAGGTCTGTGGACAAACGGCATCAGTGAAGAATATTTGATTCACAAAGGACTCTTCTGCTGTCCACATATTAACTAATCACTGGTCAAATATAACAAGTCAATGCTCAAATATTAGGCAAGTCTTGTTTTTTTTAAAATACAACTATAAAATACAAAACCATTCAATTCGGAGGTCGTTTCAGATTATACTGTTAATTCTAAGATTTTTTTTCTAAGGTATTTACACAGTAAATCAAGTAATGGATCACTCAATGCTTACCTCTGGCGGCCATCATTTTTGACCGGTTGTGTGCTTCTTGTTTGTTCTGGGCATCCTCCATGGCTATCTGTATGTGGCTCTCTGTCAAAGATTGCTTGGCTAACCTCTCGGCCATCAGAAAAGCGGCTGTGCTCTCAGATACTGATTAAGTCAAGAATGAGGGAAAATATTGTTCTATAAAAATTAATATAGCTTGATATAAAAGCTTTTTTTACCTAGGTAATTTGACATCATTTTACATAAAAGCCATATTTTTATTACCAAGCAATTCGACATCATTTTACTTAAAAGCCATATTGTTATTACCTGGTAACTAGAATTTCAAATGATGTAAAAATTTCCATTAATTTAAAAACTAGTCACAACATAGGTGGCATATAACCTGCAAAAATATGATTCATTTAACATTTTCTAATTCATCCTGACATACATTTATTTAGCAACAACAGAAGTTTCTCATTTAAGACTGTCAATTTAATGAAAAGCTTTCTGTCTAAAAAGTTTGGGAACATTGGTTTAATGAATCTTAAATTTATTGTCCAAGAGATGTTAGAGTTTGGCATTCTTGGGCAGACAGTATATAAATGGATAAAGGTTAGAATTATATCTGTGCCAGACAACATGTAATGCACAAAGTAAAGGTTGGATTAAATATTTTGTTTTTGCTCGTAGTCTTTGACCCATTGTGTCAGAAGAGCATAGAGAGACCATTTTATCTCATGCCAAGCTGACTGCTGTCTTCCATCTTTGAGAGATACATTTTTTTTTTCACTATGGGCTATCCATGCAATCCAGTTGGCCATTTGGACTTTTTTTTTTTTTTTTTTTTCGGGGGGGGGCAAAAGCTTTATTTTATGCCAAGCTGACTGCTGTCTTCCATCTTTGAGAGATACATTTTTTTTTTCACTATGGGCTATCCATGCAATCCAGTTGGCCATTTGGACTTTTTTTTTTTTTTTTTTCAGGAGGGGGGACAAAGACTTATTTGATCCTGATCAGTTGTTACTTACCCTCATCTTGGGGCTTGTAGGCAAAAGCTATTGGTATTGGCCCTTCATGCTGCTGCTGAGGCTGACCATTAGAAGATGTCGGCTGCGGTGGAAAAACGGTTTGATGCCTGTTGTAAACAGCACTGTTTGATCTCGGATTGGGGTTGACTGCAGCACTTCCAACAGCTGATGCAGAGTTAGTCCTACGCTGCTTCAAGAGACCAAATCTGCAATACAACATGACAATCTTTCAATAACTTGAAGCAAGAATAAAAAATAATGATCACAGCTCACTGTTGAATGTATACTAAATGAAACAGGTGGCTGTAGTACCAGAATCAGTAAAGAAAAGAAACAGATAGGTTAAGGTTTAGATCCTATGCAAAGAATCTTTAAAATATCCATTGCCTTGTGCGTAACTGAGAGAGAACCATGACAAAACAAATCCCAGAAAGAACAGTGAACAAAAGTTGGTATACCGAGCTCAATTGTACTGGACCCAATTGGTGCAACATATGGTAAATGTCCAAATAAATTATCATGACAAAAAATATTGATGCCGAATTTTAACGATGATTCTTAACATGGCAGGAGTATGTTCAATACTTCTTATTGCTCATAGAGCTGTCCAAACCTTTTCAGATAGCTTCCTTGCTGTAGCGGCACAGGTTTCGCCTTGTTCTGTGTGTTGACACTAGGGCTTGAATGAGGATGGAAGAACCCAGAACCACTTCTTATTCCATTCATACCAGGTGATGTGCCAAACCCTGCGATAAAACATTTTCTGCTGTAAAGCGGGGATCACACAACAGTAGTGGTCTAATAAAGAAATCTTGCGGCATGGGGTGTTAAAGAGCCCAACCACGCATAGCAATTTTATTTAGCTTATGAAATGCTTACCAAGTGATGCGCCATCTATCAACTTAGTGGACAGATACGGGGGTGGTCTGTGCATGGATTCCGTACTAGGTCCTGTTATTTGGCTCTTGCTGCTACTATCCTCTCTCTGCAGACAATTCCTCACTTTGTCCCACAGCCATGTGATTTCCTCATCAGTGGGAGTGCGATCGATCCTCAAGCCATTTTCATCATAGACCTGAGCTGGGGCATTATTTGTGACATTTGAATAGGAGGGGACTGCAGAATTGGATTGTGGGTAGGTCATTTTGGTTGATGCTGGAACAATACTGGTCTGAGTAACTGTCTGGTTGGAAATGGCCACCCTCCTTGCCGTGGTGTCTCGGATTCGAGATCTATCATAGTTCTGCTGCTGCTGCTCCTCTTTTTGCAAAATTTGGCTGTTTCCTTCTGCTGAATTTTGATTCCCCTGATTGCTTTTGGTGCTGTTCTGATCCAGCTCCTTCCCCGAATAAGCAGCATGGTAGACATTTATATTTGTGGTGTTGGGTATTTTGACAGGAACCTTGGTCATGAAATTGTTATTGATGGCCTTGACCTTCATCTCCAGTTGCGACTTGTGAGCTGTGGATCCTACGGACGCAGGGTTCAGTGGCACGAAGCCATTTTCGTGTTCGTTAGCGGTACTTTTCACCGGTGGGTGCACCTCAGAGCTCATGATAATATGGGCTGCCGCCCGTGGACGATTATTGGCGGGAAGAGTGGTGTTGAGAGGGGTGGTGAAGGAAGGAGGCAGGTTCGATCTTGAGTTGAAGCTATTGGTGTTTGTATTCTCATGTGGGTTAAATGGGGGAGAGCCTGTATACATTTGTTGAACGTTCCTGATTTGAATTTGAGCTGATGAGTCGTCCAGGGATGGTCTGGTGACCCCAGCACTGGCAGCCCTTTGGACTTTCACCACATTTTCAGTTTTCAGCGCACCAGAGAATACTTTAGCTGAAAATGGTCTTGTGGGCATTGTTTCTGGGAGCGAGAAACAAAGTTTCAGTAATAAAATATATTGGGGGGGGGGGAGGGGGGTTTGGGGTTGGTGGTTAGATTTAAAGTACCACCATATTTCTTTACATGCCTTCATAATTCATTTTACTTGACATAATTACATTTTTTTTTTGTTAAACAATAGCTGGTGTTAAGATTAAAAATTGGAATTTATAAATGTTGTCTTTCCTGCTCCATATTAAGGATATTCTCGTAATGTTGTATATTTTCAATGAATATGTAAGGTTTTACAGTGTCTTGTGGTTTCATTATTTTCACGAATGGTAACATGAAAGCACTTTTTGAATTTTATAAAGATTTCAAGAAATTAATTATGAAACAATTGGATTGTCCGTACATTGAGTTGCTATAAAAAGTATAGTAATAGCTCAAAATGTTTCAAATTTTTGTTTTTTCATAACTTACTGTTTAAATAACCCCCTGAATTTATCAACATTTCTGGTCCATTTGAATCATATTCAGTTTCCTCAAGTCTGTGATCTGCAAATCTCACACTTTTCTTGTTTGCCTGTAAAGAAAAGCATTCATTAAAAAGTATATTTCAATCTCTGCCATATAATAATCATACTCTCTGACCTAAACATTTCAATAACAATCCCCAAATATAGATTATAAACTGCTGCAAAATTCAGCTGCATCTATCACCCTATGGCCAAGTATGCTGATGAAACAGCTTATCATTGAAGTAATGCATTCTCCAATCCATGATAAAACAACTAAGCAATTTCCCATCCATAATAAAACCACTAAATATTCTCCAACAAGCTCTTGATTGTTAACTGAGATCACGATTTATTAAGTAATAATAAATAAATTGGGGAATTAAGGTGGAAAAAGCTCTTTATCAAATTCCAGTACCTTCTTTTGTGTTTGTAAACGAGTTATCTCCAAACTGTCTCTAGGGTGCTGCCTTTCTGGCAAATCATGACATTCCCCAGCTTCAAGTTGATAGTTGACTGGTGATTGCTTTAGGATGCCCCTCACTGGCCTGACTTCCAGAGGCTCATCATTTCCTCTCTCTTCTCCTGCTCTTCCTCTGTGCTCCCTTGCCATGTTGACCCTGGCATCAAATGTGGGCTCATTTTTGTTTTCCATAATATTTCCTGCACCTGCCGAATTGGAGGGCATACCGAGCAGCACATTTTCTGTGAGTCCTTTCAATAACAAATCACTTTTGACATATGACAGGTTATTTGACCTCAGACTGGGGGCAGGTGCTGTAATGATTTCCTGTGACAGGGGTCCACTTAAGTGTGTTTGCACAGACGTGTTCTGGTCAATGTGTTGATGGGAACTTTTTCCTTGAATCCAACTGGTTGTGTTTTTATTTTCATATACAAGTGCATTCTGGGTGTTGTCAACATCAGATTTCATTGCTGGGTTTTTTATCACATTGGCTGGCTGCATGTTGCCTGTTGAAGCCTGGATTTGTTTCGGAAGAGACGATTGGTGCGTAGGAAAATTTTGTTGATCAGTGGCCTGAAAATACTGAGCCCCTTGTTTACTAACAGGAGCAAGCTCATTGATGCTGTTGCTGTTATTTAATGAAGGTCCTTGTGTTGATGGTTTTGCACCTATGGCATTGACAGATTTCAGAGAAGAGTTGTTTTGAAGATTTGAATTAACGGAGATGTCAACTGTTGGAGCTATTTTGACAGGGGAAAATGTTTCTGAAGTGTTGCTTCTGTTGCTTGTGAACTGGTTTGTGTTATTTAAGAAATATGATGGTTGACTCTGAGGACTTGGACCTGGCAAGAGAGATGACCCGATCAGAGAAGAATATCGGGGCTGGAAGCTGCCCCCGTCAGAGGTGACAGTTGACTGTTTGGTTGAGTAGTCAGAATGTGGAGGAGACACCCACACAAGATTATTTTCCATTCTGTTCTGTTGCTGTAGTCTGTAACCGGTGTTCAGTTTCGCCTGAAGCATTTCGTCCTCTGGAGACATCCCATAGGTGGCACCATTTGCGCTCGACAAGGATGGACTGCTTATTGTGCTCACCGATTCCAGTGAGTCAGTAGAAAACTGTTTGAGTGGAGAGGCCTGCACACCAGGTGGGGCATGCAATGTCTGATCAACATGATATTCTTCCTTGTTGTTTCGATCTTTCAAAATGTTTTTTCTTGTCACTCCAACATAGGACAGTTCATTTTTTGGCCTCGGATGCTGTGCAAAATTAGCAGTTGCTAAAGGTCCAGATTTGTTAGTTTCGCTCTTGTTCATCATGGCGTCATACACTGGTAAATTATTTAAATCTGAAGTTTGTCTATATGCATCAGTGAAAAATGAAGATTGGCTGGCTGTATACATTTGCTCTGGCTGAAAGTGAAACTCTGTAGACCCACTTTGATCACCCTTGGAAAGTCTGTCCCCTGTTTGTATTGTCATGTTACTCCTTCCCTTTAGTTCTGTCATTCCTTCTTTAAACCCCTCTAGACTGTCTAGACTAGAGCAGCTTTCATTGTCATCATCAGTAGGTATTGTTTGGTTATTACCATCATGGATTATCCCAAGAGTCGTCTCGTCTTTGTCAATTTCCTTCCGTATGGCTCTGTCAAATTCCCTGAGAGCAGTTTGCTGCTTCTCAAGTAACAAATTTTGCTGCTGCTCCAGCTGCTGTTCAAACAAAGTCTTGCTGCTGGTAAAATTCTGCATACTAGAATCCATCAATTCAGCTCTGACACTGGGGTCCTTTGGGTGGGTGGACCTACTTGGTGGAGATAAAACTGGATGGTGCCACACATTTTCAAAATAAGACCTCTCCATAGGGTCATGGTTTTCATCTCGAGGTGAAAGCATTCTATCTCTTCCAGATCTAGGCCGGTCATCATGCTGGTTGCCTCTGATGAGACATAATGCATCATCTAAAGCTGGGCCTTGCCTCCTTGGACTGTACCTTCCACTTCCTTGTCTAGCACTAGGTGGGATATGAGATCTTTGATATTTTTCTGTAGCTAACTTTTGTTCCTCCCTTCTCTTTGTTAGAATTTCTTGCCTTCGCCTCTCTTCTCTTTTTGCCTCAAGTTTTCTTTTATGTGCTTGAACTCTTTTTAAAAGAAAAAGTAGGAAAAAATAATATGTTTAGTAAGTATGCAACTTTATAGCAAATTGCATCTTACAAAATGAGAACTTATAATTCTCCATTTAGCTATTTGTTGATTACCCAGGAACATTAAAAAAAAAATTAAATAATTTAATGTTGCTAGAGGCCAAACCTTTAAGTTCTTGAACAAAACTTTATTTACTAAATCAGGGTTATGAACAAGATAAAGATTTACATTAATTGAATATACGAGATTCAATGAAGGCTTTTTTTTTTTTTTGGTTAACTTGCTGAATAATGTCACTATAATTTACACATTTTTTAAAATTTCTTATTTAAAAGCAATTGCTCCCTAAAAGTTTACTAAGTTTAAATCAGGGTTATGAACAAGATAAAGATTTACATTAATTGAATATACGAGATTCAATGAAGGCTTTTTTTTTTTTTTGGTTAACTTGCTGAATAATGTCACTATAATTTACACATGTTTCAAAATTTCTTATTTAAAAGCAATTGCTCCCTAAAAGTTTACTAAGTGTAGCATATTGGGTGTGGAGGATACAATTTAGTGTGCTTGCTTTTTGAGGATCAAGAATCTTCTTGAGCTATTCTTTTGTACATACTTCCTTCTTTTGTTTGTATCTTGTGATAATTTCCTTGCTCTTGCAATGGAGTCGAATCTGTTACTTTCACTTAATTGTTCTAGCTCCATGGTATGAAATGTAGTACTTTCAAATTGTTAAGGATGAAAAATTGCAGCAACATTCAACTTTGAAATCTTTAAGTGGATGGGTATGAAATTGAAAAATGAAACTATCATACTTGGAGAGCATTTCCTTTAATTAAAATGATTTGGGTTTTTATATTTCAAACAAGTGAACAAAGTTAAATTGCTATGCAGGCTTGATGCAGGGTAAAGAAAAGTAGAATTCAAAATGTTAAAAATAAATAGCTTGATCATTTATCACTCTTATTTTTTATAATATTAAGTCATTCTTAATTTGTATCTGAAATTTATAGTCAAAATTAACTTTACTTAAAAAAACATTAATTAAAAAAATATCTAGAGCCTAGTACAAACTATACTATGTTAAAATATAACATAACAAAATAATTATGTAGACTATTTTAAGATAGTCTATCACTTGAGTGTCGGTTATGAAAAATACCTGTAATTACAAAGTTACAGTTTGAAGTGCTGTTTAAGAGGTATTTTTTTCATTGATGAGATAAAATTCTTTTATTGATCCAAAATAATGGAAAGTTTTTTATGACATTTAAATATTCATTACAGCACATATATAAATAATCGAAGACAGCATTTTTAAAATATAAACAAATAAAACAATATAATTTAATGTATGAAAAGACTATTTAGATTATGCATAATTTTCCCCCAAGCAAACAACGCAGTTTTTAAGAAAGTATCATCTCCATGTTTGCGGAACATGAACACATACAAATTGGAAGGGAAAAGATCACGGCTTGTTCCAAACTGAAACTGTCTTTACAGTTTGCGCGCATCCACATGTTTTTCAACATTCTATGTGATGTGTTTGTCCTATCTTACTGAACTTCTTACTACTGTCTATTCACCTCTTCGAAACCTTCATTCCTCTGCAAATACAGGTATTCCTTCAGTTCCCAGAACACGCACTAAAACATATAGTGAACGATCTTTCTCTTTCTGCGACCCTAAACAATGGAAATCTCTCCCAATAAGCATCCGCAATATACCGACCATACAGGCCTTCAAAACTGCACTTAAAACACATCTCTCTAAACTCTACTATCCCGAATGATTCCCCCCCAATAGCCAATAAAAGATGCTGCTGGTTGCTATCCATGTCTTGACATGTAAAAGTTCTGAGGTGGGTGGTGTGAATATACATTTGTTTTTGTTTTGTTGTTATATAGCTGTTTTTTTATTAAATAAATGTATGTTATTTTGTAATTTCATGATTGTGTTTGCTAATATTTTTATGTACAGCACTATGTAAGGTCACTTTCACTAATAATAATAATAATAATAACAGGATTTTTTTCAAAAACGAAACTCAGGTGGTAGATTACCTATTTTAACATGTCTAAGTTTATTTTAACATGTCTAAGTTTATTTTTTTAAATTAATATATAGGCAATATAGGCGTAAATTAAAATTATTTATATTTATTATTTTAAAAAGTAAAAGCAAAGGCAAAAGACTAGTGACTAGTCTAAGTCTAAGTCATAAGTAAATTAAATTAAAAATTAAAAGAAGTTAAAGGATACGCCGTTGAATAAGCTCCAGCAATAAGTCTACTATCCATTTCCAAAATATTTTTGTGAATAATAGTTTAAAGGTCACTTGTCTTTCATAGTCTAAAACGCTCTATGCTACATAGCGGCCCTTGTCAAGTCCATTATCGGATGCGAGAAACATTGTTTACAATGGTTGGATACCAAAAGCCGCCATGTTGTTTTTAGTTACAGCTTGCGTAGGAATGTCACATTTAAGAAAACACTGCGCTAGTTCCGGTATCTTAAAAAAAAAGGTTTTAAAAATAGCTACGATTTAAATATTTTAAAAATACAGAAAAGAGATATAATTTAAACTCTTACGTTAAATTAGTTTAATGATAATTAAAATTTCCTTATAAAATACTAAAAGAGATGTTAGGGGATTTGAATTAATTTAAGATAAATAACTACATCTGGAAAAACAAGTGCAAAATTATTACAACATAAAATATATGTCTCTGTAATCAGCAGTGGCGTAGGCGTAGCGTAGCAACAGTCAGTGGCATAACTAATAACTAAGGTTATTACCGTCAGGGGTGGGCTAAGCTTTTTACCGCCCCCTTCCATGAAAAAGAACTGTCTAGTTGGCTGAAAAGGACGCACCTCCATATAAAGAACAATTTTACGTCGGGGCGAACACCTCCCTCCACACCCCTTTTCAATACGCCACTGCGAGCCGAAGTAAGCTAGGGTTAGTTGCAGCTCGGGGCGGGCCCAGGCTTCTAAAAAAATCGTGGGAAACACTTGCTATGGATCGTACAAGCTGGCGATGCAGACTCTCTGTTTGAGCACAATCCTCAGAGAGTAAACGCACCGCTCACGCCCAAAGAAAGCGCACCGTAAAGAAAGAGCAGATTTGACTCGCATCCAACTAATAAGACCCCAAACCACTAGTGTACTACGTGCTGCAAAGCTTTGAAGGCACAAATGGGGCTGACAAGCCACCTGCGTATTCACCAATGAATATCGACTTGGACATCCTTCGCATGGGAAGATACATATGCCTATGTAATAGGCCTAAATGCTTATTATATTTATTATTTTTTTTTAAAGAAAGGACTGTTGCTTAAGTAACTCAATTTAAAAAGCAAAATAAAGGGAGCGTCAGATTGAAAACTCAATAAATGACATCAGTGGCTTAGGAACGGGGCGTGGGGGAGGGGGCGGTCCGCAAAAGACGCAATGCATAACAGTTCATAATTTTATTTTTATTATCAATTACTATTGCCGGTAGTTATTTTAAGATATTGGAAATCTAATTGGCTGACCCGGTTAAATAATAATATTAGGTCGAAAAAAAGGAGTGAAAGAGAAAATCAAAAGCTTCAACCTAGGCCATACATAGTTACAGCAGTTATCAAAAGGTGGAATATGAAAAATATTGTCTCTTTGATGACGTGGAATGACTTGAAATAATAAGCTCAGAGCAATCCCGTGTTACAGTGGTAATCATATCAACCTACATTAAAACAAGAAACAATTATTATGGTTTAAAATTCCCAGGCGCAAAAAAATTACGAACCCAAGAAGAACAGCTATTTACAGTGGCGTAACAACGGCTTGGCATTTTAAAATTTAAATTTAAACAAAAGGGCACCAAAAATAAATTAGCCAAGGGGGTCGGAATCCCAGTTACGCTCCTGGCCATTTAATAAAATTAACTTTAAATGCAGTCATTTGGGGTTTTATCTAAGTAGCCTACAGTTTAGTACTATTATGAGTTCAATAACTCTCAATAAATTTAAATGTATAATTTCAATGATTTTATGTTATGCTGCCCCACGGGATTTGTTCCCTAGAAGGCATTGTATCATTTTGTCCTATAGTGCATCCACCACTATGATTATCACTTTGAACGTTTTCATGTGTTTGCACTGTATTTTTTTTTCCCCCTTGGTATGATGCATTGTCGAATTAAAAGGTGCACTGAGTACAGTCAACATAGGGACATGTAGCTGTCTATTTATTGTCCATAGAAATGGAATTCTTTACCACTACACCTCTGCAGTATACCAACCACCCAGGCCTTCAAAACTGCACTTAAAACACATCTCTTTCCACTATACTTACCCTGACTAATTCCCCTCCTCTGACCGATAAATGATCTTGTTGGCTGCCTTCAATGGTTTGCCTTGTAAAAATCCTGGGGTTCATGCTGTTCTTTTTTTTTTTTCATAATTGTATTTGATTTTAATGTCATGATTATGTCTCTTTTGATAATAGCTTTATGTACAGCGTGTTGAGCCCAGCCCTAGGCTAGGGTACCGCGCTATGAAAGACCACTAATTATAATTATTATTATTGTAGTAATCCCGGGCTGAGATACTTTGAGCCCCGCTAGCTAAAAGGGGTGAACACGTAGTATGATGACAATAATAAAATAATAAAATGTGGAACCAAATACCACTCCAATGCTTGCAATTATTATAATTTTTTTTTTTAAAGAAAAAAAAAATGTGAGAATTGAAAACATGCTTCATCGGAAATCCAGATCCGAAAATAACTCAGCGATGCAACTCACCTGGAAGTAATATATATATAAAGTGCTTTTTTTTTGTGACGGCACGCGCTGTGACGTCGCATCATCACCTTAAAAAAATCATTTACCTACTAATGAAGAAGAAGTGTAGATTGATCCAAAATTAAATTCAGGTATTATGCGCCAAAATTAATCCTTGTATTTTGAATTCACTTCCCCCGCATTGGCTTGAGAGCCTTTGCCTTCGGCACTTTTGAATCACCCCCCCCCCCACCCCACTCTTTTTTCCGTTACGTTCAGTGTCATGTAGCGCATATGCCAAGGACAGCACAAGGCTACTTATTTCCAGGTTTCCCTTTGCCATAAAGCACTATATTATATCGGAGTGGCTATAGGTACCCGGGTACCTAGGTACCTATATCAGCAATTGGCTTTTCGGACCTGGCTGGTCACGTGAGGGCTTTATTAATATCCGGTTGGTCACGTGACGGTTATGACGGATACTTCCTGTTGGTGTGCCATCTTAGACTTAGAGCCATTACTCATTACTATCAATCGAGACATGTGCCAAATTTTGAAGACTTTTATAAACCGGTAGCATTGTAGAAACCCGAAGAACAGCTAATAGCAAGTAAGAATACATTTATGTTTATAATTTTATTGTATTTTTAAATTCTATTTTAAATATAGTTCTATAGGTAATCTACCACTTGAGCGTCGGCCAAGAAAAAATCCAGCACCCACGTCTTTTCAATTTTGCTTTAATAAGCCACATTCTTTGTGCACTGTAAAATAGCACTTTTTAAACAATCTAATCGATTTTTGAAACCTTATGCTTATACAAGAAGACATACCTCATTAACTTCACTTGACTCTATCAAAACAATATTTAATTGATACAGCATAGACACTGCACAAAACCAACTGCTACTTTAATAAAAGCAGAGTACCAAGTAGATTGGAGAACCAGTGAAAAATACCAACTTAATTATAAATGGCTTGCATTAAGTCCATTAATTTTTTAACACTTCAGGTTGCAGCAGGACACAGTCTGGGAGCCTCTGTCCTAGTCCTAGTCAATTACATGCCATAATAAACACATATCTTTACATTTTCTCTTAACACCTAGCATCATCCTAATCCCCCTTCCAATAATAAATATTAGTATCTTGAACAACTTGATCCTTTGAATGCACTTTATATAAAGATAAATCCTGCAAGTGCATGTAAAAATATCAAAAGACTGTATTGGAATGGTTAGTTTCACTGATTAGGTCAGTGTAAAGTCCTTGCACATTCCTAATTTAGTTAAAATTAGATAAAAATTCCTAAACAATCTAAATTTCCTTCTGACATATTGAGTGCATTTTTGCTGTAAAAGAAATGATTAAAAAATTCAAAAGAGCTGTTTAGATGGATTGCTTCTTATATTTAGATTCATCAGTCGCTATAGCATATATTTTTTGGTTAAAATCATAGTAGTAATAATCAAGAGTTACATCTTGCAGGTTAGAATTATATTACCATTGATCTTTGACAAAAAAATCTTATTTAAATTTTTAAAGATTCACTACTGTAATGCAGTTGTAGTTAAAATCTTGCACTGAGCTTGACGTGACCATTTTGAAGGTTTTCTTTTGTTCATTTAACACCACCTCCCTAATTCCAATAGTGGTTGGACTTTAACTATTTAATAGATTAAATAAACAAAGCTATTCAACTTTCCCTTAGAGAACCAGGAATTTTTTGTCGAAACACCCATGCAAACATGGCTGGTGTAAAAGCAATGATTACACCAAGTGTGTGATTAATTTTTTTGGTACTTTTTATGATGGTAACTTTCAGGTTAAAATTGTTCATAGGATATTGTCTTCATATTAATGCAAGCTTGCGCTCTAATATAATAAAGTTTCTGTCTTCTACTAATTAATGTATTATTTTACTTCCAGGTTAAAGTTGTTGTTTTCACAGAGATCACTTGAAGACCCCCATCACTGCCAGAATTCACAGCTGCTCTTATGATGAATGTGCAGGAGGAATCATGACATGCCAGGACAATGACTGGTCAACATTTTACTTCAGGTAAATCCAGTCCTTTTTATTCTATTTATTTTTCATTACCTAATTTAAAAAAAAATATTTTTGGTTTTATTTTTTCACATTTTAACTTGATGCTTGATTTATCACACTGGGTAATAATCTTGAGGTAACTTGCCATTATTGGGATCTTGGAAATTTATTCCCAATGGATCATAAGCCAACCACAATCTTAGTTTTGGCCAGGAAAACCCTGAAAAGTGTGTAATCTGCTTATTAGTGTACTCTCTCAGTTTTGGCTGGGAAATTATTTTAAAGGTTTTCTTCGAAACCTTAAAAATAATTGCTTATTAAAAAGACTTAAAACTATTAAACATTCAGTATTATGTATAACAGCGACTCACTTCACTTTTCTACATATATATACCGTAACCACACTGAACAGAATCAGTCATATGCTCACGCACAGACACAATCTTATTATTTTCTATAATAGAATCAATGAACCTGGTGAAAACCTGTGACCGACTCAAAGGCCCACTTATACCATTGAAATATTTTTTGCGTAAATAGGCCTTTGAATAGGGATCTACAGTACATGCTGATTATTTTCTTTTTAGCCATGTCTAGACTTAATCATGTGTTGATCATTCTTAAACATCATCCAAAAATTCAAATTAAATAATTATA